GTGATAAAACACAAAAGCACTCAATCAAAATAAACGCTTTGAAAACGTTTTCTGTCCTATCCCCCTCCCCAGGAAATCCACAGGATTCCTTACAACAAATAACTATGGGGCAGGGGAAAAGGAGGCACTTGTCCTTTCTGAACACTATCTGCTAAAGTAGCACATTTTCAGTCATCGTTTTTAAAGATGACAAGTTGCCCTACTAGCTGGTAGAGCAGCACCGGCAGACGTGTCGGGGTCGGCTAAAGCTGCCATCACTCCATTTGCAGTGCCCTCCTCCGCAGCTGTGGGCGCCTCGCAGAGCTCACTCGTGAGCAGCTGGACTGTAGGACCCTAGCTCAGGGCCACCTGGGCTCCATAACCGAAGCTGCACTCCTCACGGATGCAGCAAGTTCAGCATTCCCAGGAAAGAAGGCATCCACATCTTCCTGCTCATCTACACATTTTCCCCATAACCCCCTAACAGTTCAACAGAACAAGATCAGCCAACCTCACTGTATTTTTCAAAAGAGATTTTCTGATTTTCACAACAATTACTGACACAGCATATTCCACTTTTCAATTAGGTTCATGCTTGAGATGGGTTCCAAAGTACTCTTTTATTAGATACCCCAGATCCCAAAGACATGCAAAATACTATTGTTTCTCAAAGTAATGAAATACAAATTAGTCAGAGAAAGGGGCTAATTCTAATACTACCATTTACTCAAAAGATTTTTTAAACCTTTTATTATCATCAGAATCTAAAATATCTTTTAAAATACTTTCAAAGCAGTTAATCTTCATTCTTAGAGGGTGTTTTTGAGTTTTTAGTAACCAAATGCATACTGGAGCCATATCTAATAATTAACATAGTAATTTATGAAAATGTGCTTACTTCAAAACCTAGATGTGTGATTGGGGTTCTGCCTTTGGCCACTGATCTTGGTTCTGGGCCAACTAAACTAGAATGTAGTTTCCTTTTAAACTACATTTTAGGAGGAAAAAAATCTCTGCAAGAAAAAGATGACAGGTTGCTTTCGTGCTGATGACCAAAGTAAATGGGACACAGTTGTGAAGAAACAAATGCCAGTAAGGTGAAAACATGAAACCCTGCACTCAGCAGGATAGCAGCATGAGGCAGAGTGACGAAGCCGGGAGTATACACGACAAATAATGATGAAAAGCCAAGCAGTGCTATCGATACTGGTAGGAAGAGTTGGACAGTCTGGGAGAAGACCACGACTAGACAGTGGCTAGAGGAGCTTGGGGAAACAGTAACAGACGAAAGAGAGTCAACTCTCCCATTCTCTGAATCCACAGGTTCCTGTTCTCTGCCTGCATCACTAGCAACATTGTGTCTGTACTCACTGATGCAAAGACAAGCAAGCATCCATCCCGAAAGTAGTTAACCCACTGGTGTGCGGGGTTGGGGGCTGCTTTGCATACCTTCTTTTAAAAGATCATTTCTAAGTTTAGTATCTTACAGTCAATTCAGAGCAGGAACTATGTATGTCTGACTCAATTTCCAAAACTTGGAGAGAAAGATGAATTGTGCTTATTATCTTTTAACCTCTTATTTTGGCAAAGATTTTTTCCACTTTTCAACTCCCAAGTGTAGAAAACTAATGTACAAATTCCATTGCTATGAAACAATTTACCAGAAGTCTTCATTCTCCTGTTTTCTAGGGAGGAAGAACCTGTATTTCAAACACAATCTTAAAACACACATATGCTGACACTGCCCTACATTGAAGTTTTATTTTTTAATAATCCACCAGAAACTCTGTGATCATATTCAATAAATCTATAAAGCAAGTGTCTGCTGTTATGAGGACACTGTAATACGCAGAGGTACGAATCCAAGAAAAATAATATTTTAAATATTATCAAAATCCTCACAAAAACAGAAGCTCTAACATTTGACCACCTTAAATACTTGTAACATATCTGATTTATGGGGGGTTTTTTTTGCAACATTAAACTTCATATTTAACTTCTCAATTAAAGAAGTACCAATTAATGAAAAAGTCCTAAGATAGAAGGAACGGGAAAATGCAGTAGGTGGGTTTTAGTGTGTATCATCACGTTTTTGCACGTTTTCATTGCACAGGTCACCTTAATCAATGCAAAGAAATTCCTCTGCAACTAGGAAATACTATAAATTTCTTACCCATGAGCCTTTAAAGTATTTATCAGGGCAAGCATGTGCGCGTGTTGCACGCACCCCCCCCCAATAACACAACAAAAAACAAGGTTTCATAGCTAATTAACTGTTCCCTTCCATCAGAGATAAAACTACTGAGCTAATAATCCTGTTTTAGGTATCTGAAGTCTTCTCTGGCTGAGAGCAGTTGGCAATATAGATTGATAAGACTGAGTCTCCCAGTTTCCCAGTTGAGCATTACTAGAACTTAGGTTTGCAATCCAGTACGCGCACATATCCTAGAAACATAAGTTTTACAAAACTTCATTGTGTGACACATTCATGACATTTTCCTATTCTGTTCTTTTCTGCTTCATTTAATGGGATGGGGAAAGGAGAGGCAGCAACTTATTAAACTGACTCCAGAATGGCTGCCACTGGCAGTTTGAAAACCACTGAGTTGATTAACACCAGAATGCATGCCAAGGGGCAGTATACTGGATTACTCAGCTGGATAAAACGGACTTGGTTAATGCTGCTCAAAAGCTGCAGCTATTATGTTCTCCTTTTCTTCTCCACTCCTCAGATAATTCTCCTGTAATAACCTTCACTTCAAATGGAAAGGATGGTAGGGGTATCCTTGAAGGCAACACAGAGAGTATGATATGTACCATTAGAAGCCACAGACTGGAACCTATCCTGATCACTTCTCAGCAAAGCAAAACAACATAGAACTAATACCACTTCTGAGGGACATCTGAGACATGGCAGGCATACACTTTAGTGGAACTAAATCCAATCAACATATATATAGTTGTGTATATATTTTGTTTATTTCGTATTTTTAAAAAATGAAACAGAAGTTTAAAAAAGTACTCCTTTTTACATTCACTGCACTGATATTTTATTTTCTATTATAATACATGTCTTAATGCTGATAATAACACAATAAATCAATTTCTTGATCCACTAATGAATGGGTTGAAACCTGCAATTTGAAAAACACAGCTTTAGAGGACACACAAACCTACCTAGCAGGATAAGAGGACCACAGGTACATTACCAGTCTCTAGTGGCCACCTTCTTTTACTGATGAGGAAAAGCTCAAATATTTGAAAACATCAGCAAAGAATGACTTTTTATTCAACTCTAGGAAGATCATAAAAGAAAGTATGAGACTCAGGATAAGAAAAAATGTAATAGCATCATACCCCCCAAAAAGAGGTTCCTGATCTGGCATTTAATAATTATCACCACTGTTAATCTAACACTGACTTCTTGCATGCTCAATCCTGCACTAAGTATGTGTATCACTTATTTATATGTATATATACATACATACACACATACATAAAATGCAATATATAAATTATATGCTTATGGTATTCTATTTTTAATATATGAATTTATATTTTTTCCACATCATCCTTACAACCTGTCAAAACAAAGTATTGCCAGATCTGAAACACAGGTTGGCTGGCCACAGAATCTGAGCTCTTAACCACTAAGCTACAACTCTTTCAAAGGGAAAGGAGTTCCCTCCCACCTCTGGCTGTACATCAAGAATCCTCTGTGGCATTAAAACAGATGCCCAAGTGCTATGCTAAAAGGATTTTTTTAAGTTGAGGTGGCAACTATTACAGAGAACTATATCTATACATTGTAAACTATGTATAAATATCATCTCCAACTCATATCAGAAAAGATCTTTTTGGAGGAAAAATTCTGTTGTATTCGACATAAAATACCTAGTTCAACTTGATTAATAGGTAGTTGACTTCACCTTGAACTTAACTAGACCACTATTATTATAGTTTACAATTTAGTATAAAGCAGTTTTGTCTTAGGTTTAATAACTAAATTCCATTAAGAATTTAACTGCTGACATGACAAAATGATCTTAACATAAGGTAGCCTAAGTGATAAAAATTACAGACTATACAAGTGTATTTCTATTAAATTTATACACCCATGATTTAATCTTTATCTTCCCAATATATTTTCCTTCATTACCTAAAAGATAAAGAATTCTGAATCTAATGTAACATTAATAAACTCAGCATTCTTCCTGGGTTGATTCACTTCCACCACCCTTAAGAAAACACTTGGTAGCAAGTACACGGTACAAACTTAGGAAGTTTCCAAGGTTCTGAATAATTAAGAAGTGGTTTTGACTATATCACTCAAATAAAATGCTATGAACATAAAAACCTTAAAAGATCTGATGGTTAGGTGGGTAATGTGAAGCCTAGAATTACCGCTACTAGCAACCACAAGTAACAGTGGGACTACATACCACAAACACATAAAGGATTAATTGCATACGTATAAAACAATAATCACACAACTAATAATCACTCATTTTCCTCTCAGTAAAAATTCTTTGTAAAAGAAAAAAAGCAAACTATTAATGGTCCAAGTAAAAATTATTTTGTTTGGTCAAATTAATATCTCAACTGAAGAATTTATCCAATTACTTCCTGTTTAAGCTACCACAAAATGACAGCACTGCAGAGAAACTAGTCTATGATGTAAACCAGAAATATAATTACAGACTAGCACATGAATAATCCCTGAACTATTTGGTCAAAGAAATTATAGCCCCAAACTATTAAAATCTAGGGAAAATATCTACCCCAGTTCTCCTATAACCGTATCTCAAAAAGGAAAAGAAGAAAAAGAAAAAAAATTTTAAGAAATCACTCAAGCTTGTGATATGTGGTTTTTTAAAACAAAAAATACTTGCATTAAACCTATATCCACATTTGCAATCTAAATATTAAAATATCTTAAAATATGTGATAATTAAATATAGAATCATGAGCGTTCATTCTACCCATGACCTTGGGGTCACTGGAAGGTTTCTAAAGCATACCTTTTAATCCACGCCATGGTACTTCAAGAACATGTTAAGGTAAGCCACAGGCTGGAACACTTCGATGCACCTCAAAACACCTCAGCCAGTGTATCTGTATCATTCTCCTTTCCTTTTGAGATCATAATGGTTCCGAAGAACTACAATGCTTCCATTTGAATGATAGTTTCATAATTTCAATAACTTAAAAACAAAAACAAAAAATAAGGACTTAAGTGTTGTTATGTTAAGCCACTAGTGCGCTGTGTTAACTGCTCCCATGACTAAGAAAAACAAAGCAGCTGCTGCTACTACTACGTAACACTGTCATTTCTAATGTGACCCGCGTGTGAACGAGGAGGAGTGCATGCTTAGTGGTCAGAGTGGACAGCCTTTGCTTTTACTGAGGTCTATCCAAAGCCCACAGATCTCTTTGCCCCAACTGATTCTTCAGTTTTCCTCTCAAGGAATGAAAATAACCTAAAAGACAGGTCTGAACACTTGATAGGTGCCAAGTCCACCTCGACTGACCAACTATTCTACTCTGTTTTGAATGAGAGCTGGAAATCACCCACATACCTGTATAAAAGGGAATCTGTTAACAGACACCACAGGGATTCCTTCAAACAATGTCACTTCTGGTGTTAATATTATTGACTCATTTTAATTCCATGGAAGTCATTAAGTTGTAAGGAGATTCAGTTTCTAAAGCTTGCTTCTATGAAGAGCATGCATATAAATGAACAGATAGATGGCTATCAGGTTTTAGTGCTGCTCTGTGATTGCCTTGGCAAGTTACCTGGTTCCTCCTTCCTCTTCCTCCTCATCCCACTACACCTTTCTTACATAAAACCATTAAAAACATCATTGTTTAAATGATACAGTAAGAATTCTACGTATCACATTTTAAATATGAGAACTCACTCTACTTTTGCTTCAAATTTGACCCTCGAGTTACAAGAAAGAAAGAATACGCAACTACACAAAGGAAGTAAAACTGATAAATTATCAGTAATACACACGTCCATTCATGTTGTAAAGCAATTAACATTACTTTAGGCCGACTGATAAGGAAATTTTTAATAAAAGCAAGCCATAAAAAGGGCTTCTAAGGAAAGAAAGTAGCTGGGAGAGGTTTGTTATACTCCGGGTTTGTGGAACAGCTTGTGTAAAGTTTAACAGTCAGGAATGGAAAATGACAAAAGTTTCCCAGCTAAAGCTAAAAGTATGTGCTAAGGAGAAAGAGAAATTATTTCCTGTTTGAAAGGGTAGATTCAACTGATGAAAACCTCTCAATTTCACTGTCAGAAAAATTACACACTCCTGAGATTTAGATTTATTGCACATTGTGGGGAATGCAGATTACAAAATGTAGGTCACTCTTCAGAAAGCTGGTAATGGTGGCAGAACTGCATATAGGAAAGAACTCTACAGGGTAGGTGGGAAGAACTAATGAAGAACAGAAACAAGGGCCCTGGTCCAATGAAATAATTGCAACCACAACCATCTTTTTAAACTGATCATTTTACCGCTTTAGAACAACCCCCTGACCCTAACCCCTCCAAGCTTAAAACCTTTCAAAGCCTCTTTAACAATGCTACAATCTCCTGGAAGGACACTCAGGCTGTTTCCTATATTCTGCTGCTCCAAATAAATGCATCCTAAACACAACTATCAGGTTAATGCTCCTGAAGTACAGCTCCTCCCTTGCACATAAATAATGTTAGCCACTGGGAAATAAGGTAAGATATAAATACATTAGATAATAAAGAAAAGAATAAAAGCCTCAGTCTGCAGCACTCATTATCTTTTAGTTTTCAGAACCTGTTCTACAGGAGAAAACTGACACTCTGTGGTCAACTTACTGATCCAAGAAAACATGCAACATGAGAAAAGTACTAGGACTTAAATTTAGATCCTATAGCTTTAATTTTAGCACTTTTTCTACAAAATATTGCTGTAAAATATCGTTGGGGGATAGGGGTGTACTGGGGCCAACAACTGTTGACAATATGCCAAGAACCATGCTAGGCTTTTAGCATTATTTTATTTCATCCTGATTCACCACTCATTAAAATTGACTAGTTGCCTTTTTTCCCCCCTGCAGTTGAGGGGGTTGAGGCTCACAGAGATTTAGTACTAATCTGTTTAACATAATGCATCAGAGACTGAAAGTGGTGGATCAGATACTTCATCACACACGTCCAACTCAAAATCCCACACTGCATATGCTGCTATGCCAAGCTATCTCCCAGAAGCAATGAGAAATCAAACCCAACACTTAAGCTTATTTTTCAACCTGGCTGATAAAGCAATAATCTAATTTTATAACACTTCTCATTCAAATGTAGTTAATATACATAAGACAGATTTTTGGTTATGGTTTAGCAAGAGACTGTGTGTACATTCACTAACACCACTAAGAAAGGTCAGAATCATATTTACTCACTCAAATCGGAAATTTCATTTTATTGCTACAAAGGAAATTCAGTTTTTCATGAAGTTATGCACTTTAAGATCTTTTAAGGTTGATTTGTAAATCAAAGCAGTTATCAATATAAGCTTTAAGTGACAAAATAAAAATGAGCATGACAGTTACGTTCCTTAAGAGAACGCACTGCCATGTTTTCCCAAGTGGGCCCTGGCCCATGGTCTGCCTTGTGGGAAGCAAAACATTTACTAGCTGAAGGAGATGAGGCCATTCAGTCAAGTCATCAGGAACAAAAAAAATAAAAATTAAAAAAGAGCAGATGGTCAACACTCTACTATGCTTCAAAACACGATTAAATTAAAAGAGTAACAAAAAGTGCTGAAAAATTCCCCAAATTAAGGACAGGAAACTCCAAAGGAACTTCAAATTTGAATAGAAACCATGTACTCACAGTGCATTCCAAAACTAACTGCAGAAGTGATCAATAGAACTACGTCAATGTTTAGTAACAAGTTAAATGACTCAAAGAAACCACTTTTTAATTGCTGAAAGAAAAATTTTCACAATTACCATATTTAAGGGCTCAAAACTGTCATAGGAAGAAACTTCAATGGCCCTTCAAAAACCATCTTCATCAATAACAACATAGCTTCTGTAAAATTCATTTTTAAGCATTAGATAAAGTCCAAAATAGTTGATCATAAAAGGAATGTCCATTAGAAATTCTGATGCCCAACTACATACCGTTTAACTGCAGAATTAATGTATATTAAAGACCCTACGCAGCTGTCTACAAAGCATTTCACTTGTTATAGAAGAAGCAGAAATACATTCTCATGCCAGTTGGTACAGCCTCCTTCACTGTGCTGTGTCCAAAGAGGGTAGTCAAGGTAGTGTTTTTACATTAATTCTCACAGGCTTATTACATATAAGAAATTCTAAAGAAAAATACCGAATAATGAATTAATGAAACAAAGTATTTTAAATTGGATATCAAAATTTAGGGGATGTGTTCTACAGACGCTTGAATTTTAAATGAGTTTTGTCCACCAAGTACTTGGAAACAATTACATAAAATATGAAAATCACATAATAGGAATGTCAACTGTAAACTATTTTTTGCCACTGCTAACAAGGATTTCAAATCTAAAGTTAAATCTAGTTTTAGTAGTTTTCAAAGAATAGTCTCAAGAATCATAAACAATTCTGATTCCAATCTTGACAGTAAAACCTGACTCCTTTTCCAGTTAAACACTGGGGGTGAGAGGACATCACACCCCTATACAGCTCAGAGGCTAAACTCAGGATCAATGAGGCCCAATAACTAAAAGACACTCTGGATCTAGCAACTGGTGGAAGAGGAATATTTAGCTAATTTTACTTTTGAGGAACTCCCAACCAGGGAAGCTCTTTTCTTAAAATGTATGTACTAATTTTTAGTACTATCGATAAAAATTTCTGTCAGAGTGCCTGATGCTAGTGCTGTCCTTAAAGTGGCAAACTGCCAGGGGTCAAATGGGATATGCCCAAATTTTTTGCTAGAATTTTAGATGGCATAGTATGGACAGGTGTAATTTAAACATAAATACACGCATGCATACACACACACACACAACTATCCTTTCTGGACTGGTGTTAGCAAGCTGTTATCAGTTTGGGAGACCAAAGCTAGGAGGGTGGGGAACGTGGAAAGGGAGATGAAAGAACAGTACACTGTTCAAAGTGTGAGTTAAGAATGTTAAGGAAGAAAAGGTAGTGAAACAGTAAATCAGCTCATAACAACTACTATATTTACTCAAAACAAGCAAATCAACCAGAAGCTTCTTTCCTTTCTAGGATTTGAGAGGAACCTAAGTAAGAAACGCTGAAGAGCCTAAATCAAATTTACCTCTACTATCTTTTTCTATGTATATGTTTATAAAAACGGTTATGAGTGAATTTAGTTTCTCTGTATCATTTTCTTTCTCCTTGAGTTTAGCTGCTCAGGTTTCTCTTCGTTTACAATAAAATCTAAATTTTGATGGCTTGAAAAATTATGTGGTCATGGGTATAAAGAATGTGCTGATCAAGTTCTGGACTTGGGAGTCAGGAATTGTAAGTTAGAAAGTTACTAACTTCTGACCAAGCACAACTTCTCTGTAGACAATAACAGGAAAAAACTGCAGCTATATAATGCTTAAATAATACTTAAATGTGCAAGCACCTAGAACACTGCCCACCAGAGTAGTCACAGACACTTACTAACTTTGAAGACACAATATGAGAATCAGTTACTGCCAATGTCACAGTTCTAAAACCAAAATAAAACATTTTCCTGTGAGTGTTTTAACTTACTATTCAAGAAATTACTTATGCTTTAAATTTAAAAATTTTCACACATGTTTATTTCAATTATGTGGGTGATATCCAATCTGTGGCTCTAATTCATGTCTTCCAGCATGCTCTCCTTTCTCTTCATAAATTCATTAGATCAACAAATATTTGAACACTTGCAATGTATCAGCTTTTTTAAGCACTGAGGATACCTCAGTGTACAAAACAGACTAAAATTCTTGGCAGCACAACTTACGATGTAATTAGAATGTCAGATGGTGGTAAATGCTTTGGAAAGAAAAAGAAAGAAAGGATAAGGAAGTCAGGGGGTGGGATGCAATTTTAAATCAGCCCTCACTGAGGTAATATTTGAGCAAAGATCTGAAGGAGGTGGTGAAAGGAGGATTCCATTCAAAGGGAAAGAACAGCAGGTCCAAGAGCCCTTCAAGCAGGAGTGTTT